CACCGCCCAAAGCTGAGTAGGTAGGGCTTCCATGCCCAAGGAGCAAAAGAACAGTGCCTGCAGGGGCCAAGGGAGTGGGGTCACCACTCAGATGGACTAGAAGAATGGGATTGTCCAAAGCAGAGGGAGCAGAGTTGCCATACCAGTGGATCTGGAAGGGGGAGCTGAAGCCCACAGCTGAGAAGCTTCCATCCAGAATCCAGAGGTCATGGACAACACCCAGAGTCTGATGGGTGGGGCCATTGCCCAGATGGTCTCAGAAAACACAAGATTATTTTCAAGCTTTGAGAGGTAATGTAAATTGTTCTGCTGGATTTTGGACTTGCTTGGTGCCTGTTATCCCATCTTTTCCTCCGATTCCTCTCATTTGTAATGGATATGTCTATCTTGTGCCTGTTTCACTGTGTACTTTGGAAACAGATAATTTGTAATCTAGATTTCACAGGTTCACAGATGAAGAGGAATTTTGCCCCAGGATAGAATATGCCTAACGTCTCATCCATATTTGATTTAGGTGATTCTGAAGATGAGATTTTGGACTTGGAGTTGATTTTTAAGACTTTTGGATGATGTTCTTGGGTGAATGTGTTTTGCATATGTCAGGGACATGAATGTTGGGGGGCCAAAGGGTGCAAATGCTATGGATTTAATTGTGTCAGATATCCTTCCTTTGTGGAACCCTCTTGTAGTCCCCAGGCAGAATTAGTTGCTTTCCTTTGCGCCCCCATGACACTTTTGTGCATGTCTCTATTTATAATACTTATTGGAGTTTGTGTTTATGCCCCCCCAACTGTTTTTATTCATTTCCATATTGTCAATGCTTACTTTACACAGTGCCTAGTGTACATTAGTATAGATGTACAATGAGTTTATCAATGAATGAGTCCTGCTTGCTCTTTGGGACTGGCCCTTCATCTTATAAGACTATCTCCTGTCCTACTGGAGGTTTCCTTAAGCATAATTGCTTTAGTTGTGAACTGGCAATGGTAAGAGAGAGAGAATATCTGGGTGAAAGAAAATGGTAGCCAGTAGAACCCAAGGACAAAATGTGGGGCTGGTGCCAAGTCTCTGGGTTCCTTCAGCCCTAGTTGAGTATAAAGAGGAAGGACAACTGAACCACACCTTTCCTGTGAAGTTTTTATGTGAGAAAGAGGCAATACTGATGAGGAGTGGTGGGTGTAATGGAGAAGGAACTTAGGGCCATAAAAAAAAAACCCATTGCTGTCAAGTTGATCCTGACTCATAGCGACCCTATAGGACAGAGTAGGACAGCCCCATAGGGTTTCCAAGGAGCAGCTAGTGGATTTGAACTGCTGACCTTTTAGTTAGCAGCCAAACTCTTAAATACTGTACCACCACAGCTCCATATGGGCCATAGCCAGGGCGAATAGCTATTTAGGCACTTTTCCCCTTTCCTACCAGCCATCTTAAGTATTCTTTTGTGAGGGTGTCATATCATGTCATATCATGTCTTGGGAGTGAGTCTTGTTTGTCTGACAGAAGTGGGAGATGTGTATGTATATGGGAGTGTGTCCATATCTTTCTTGCTAAAATAAAAATAGTTCTGCTCTTCTGGGTGACTTTGGATTTCTACCTTTCAAGAGTATTCAGGTTAAAACCCTTTCATGGTCTGTGGCATAATCAGTGTACCACCCACTTTTTCTGGCTCTCAGGTTCTTTGGTAGTATATTTTTACCACTGAAAGTATTTGCTTCCCTCCAGTGGGGACTTGCATAACAGCGAAAGGCAAAAAAAATGTTAGTTAAAGCAAAATAGCTGGGGTATGAGGCTTGCAAGTAAGGTAGTGCAACCAGGAAGTATAACTGAGTAAAAATTTTGTCTCTTTTGGCTTTTGTACTCCTGGATAAGCTTTGTAAATATATTTATGGTTTCCTGTCAGGGACATCTGACAGAATTAAATCTATAGTATTCCATTCTTTGGCTCCCCAAAATTCGTGTCCTTGCCACATGCAAAACACATGCACCCCAGGACATTATCCGAAAGTCTTAAAATTTAAAAATCAGCTCCAAGTCCAAAATCTCATCTTCTGAATCATCTAAATCAAGTATGGATGGGACGTAGTGGGTTTTGTTTTGTTTTTTTTTATGTCATATTTGGAAACCCAGAGGTGCCCCATGTAACCTTTCCCATGTAATGGAAGGCACCACAAAAAACATCAGCAACCTAGGTTCAGTGGCACAGATGGGTGACTGCTAACTATGGATTTGAAAACCTTAAAAGTTCTGTGGTAACCATGTAGTACCAGATAATGTTTCTCAAAATCCATATCGTTGTTGCTATTGGGTGACATCAAGTTGGTTCCAACTCATAGTGACCCTGGGTACAACAGAACAAAACACTGCCTGGTCTTGCGCCATCTTCACAATCATTGTTATGCTTGAGCCCATTGTTGCAGCCACTGTGTCAGTCTGTCTCGTTGAGGGTCTTCCTCTTTTTCGCCGAGTCTCTACCAAGTATGATATCCTGCTCCAGGAACTGTTCCTTTCTGATGACATGTCCAAAGTATGTGAGATGAAGTATCGCCATCCTCTATTCTAATGAGCATTCTGGGTGTACTTCTTCCAAGACACATTTGTTTGTTCTTCTGGCAGTCCATGGTATATTCAGTATTCTTCACCAACACCGTAATTCAAAGGCATCGATTCTTCGGTCTTCCTTATTCATTGTCCAGCTTTCACATGTATATGAGGTGATTGAAAACACTATGGCTTGGGTCAGGTGCACCTTAGTCTTCAAGGTGACATCTTTGCTTTTTAAGATTTAAAAGAGCTTTTGCAGAAGTTTTGCCCAGTGTGATGCCCTGTTTTATTTCTTGACTGCTGCTTCCATGGATGTTGATTGTGGATCCAAGTAAAATGAAATCCTTAAGAACTTCAGTCTTTTCTCCACTTATCGTGATGTTGCTTATTGGTCCAGTCGTGAGGATTTTTGTTTTCTTTATGTTGAGGTGTAATCCATACTGAAGGCTGTGGTTTTTGATCATCAGTTAGTGCTTCAAGTCTTCTTCACTTTCAGCAGGCAAGGTTGTGTCATCTGCATATCACAAGTTGTTAATGACTCTTCCTCCAGTCCTGGTGCCCCATTCTTCTTCATATAATCCAGTTGGATCTTTTCCAGTCAGTTGGCCAGGTAGCTCTTCCAAATTTCTTGGCATAGACACGTGAGCAATTACAGCATTGCATCTGTTTGTTGAAACATCTCAGTTGGTATTCTGTCAATTCCTGGAGACTTGTTTTTCACCAATGCCTTCTGTGCAGCTTAGACCTTTTCCTTCAGTACCATCGGTTCTTGATCATATTCTACCTCCTGAAATGGTTGAACGTCAACCAATTCTTTTTGGTACCATGTCTCTGTGTATTCCTTCCATCTTTGTTTGATGCTTCCTGTGTTCCTTAATATTTTCCCCATAGAATCCTTCAGTATTGCAACTTGAGGCTTGAATTTTTTCTTCAGTTCTTTCAGCTTGAGGAATGCAGAGCTTGTTCTTCCCTTTTGGTTTTCTATCTCCAGGTCTTTGCACATTTAATCATAGTACTTTGTCTTCTTGAGCCGCCCTTTGAATCTTCTGTTCAGTTCTTTTACTTCATCATTTCTTCCTTTTGCTTTAGCTACTCTATGCTGAAGAGCAAATTTCAGTGTCTCTTCTGACATCCATTTTGGTCTTTTCTTTCTTTCCTATCTTTTAATGACCTTTTGCTTTCTTCATGTATGATGTTCTTGATGTCTTACCACAGCTAGTCTGGTCTTTGGTCATTAGTGTTCATTGCATCAAATCTATTCTTGAGATGGTCTCTAAATTCAAGTGGGATATACTCAGGATTGTGCTTTGGTTCCAATTGTGGACTTGTTCTAATTTTCTTCTACTTCAGCATGAAGTTGTATATGAGCAATTTATGATCTGTTCTGCAGTCAGCGTCTCACCTTGTTTTGACTGATAATATTGAGCTTTCCCGTCATCCCTTTGCACACATGTAGTCAGTTGGATTCCTGTGTATTCTATCGGATGAGGTCCACGTGTATATTCGCCATTTGTGTTGGTGAAAAAAGGTATTTGCAATGAAGAAGTCGTTGGTCTTGCAAAATTCTATCATGCAGTCTCTGGCTTCTTTTCTATCACCAAGGCCATATTTTCCAACTACTAATCCTTCTTCTTTGTTTCCAACTTTTGTATTCCAATTGCCAGTTATTATCAGTGCATCTTGATTGCATGTTTGATCAATTTCAGACTGAAGAAGTTGGTAAAAATCTTCAATTTTTTCATCTTTGGCCTTAGTGGTTGGTGTGTAAATGTGAATAATAGTGGTATTAACTGGTCTTCCTTATAGGTGTATGGATATTATCCTATCACTGACAGCGTTGTACTTCAGGATAGATCTTGAAATGTTCTTTTTGACAATAAATGCAATGTCATTCCTCTTCAATTTGTCATTCCTGGCATTGTAGACCAGTTGCTTCTCTGATTCAAAATGAGCAATACGAGCCGATTTCAGCTCACTAATCCCTAGGGTATTGATGTTTATGCATTCCATTTCATTTTTGATGACTTCCAATTTTCCTAGATTCATATTTTGTACAGTCCACATTCTGATTATTAATGGATGTTTGCAGCTGTTTCTTCTCATTTTGAGTCGTGCCACATTAGCAGATGAAGGTCCTAAAAGCTTGACTCCATCCACGTCATTAAGGTTGACACTACTTTGAGGAGGCAGCTCTTTCCCAGTTGTATTTTGAGTGCCTTCCAACCTGAGGGGCTCATGTTCCAGCACTATATCAGACAGTGTTCCACTGCTATTCATAAGGTTTTCACTGGCTAATTTTTTTCAGAAGTAGACTGCCAGGTCCTTCCTCCTAGTCTGTCTTAGTCTGGAAGCTCAGTTGAAACCTGTCTGCCATGGGTGACCCTGCTGATACTTGAATACCAGTGGCATAGCTTCCAGCATCACAGCAACATACAAGCCCCCACAGTACGACAGACTGACAGACGCGTGGAGGAAATCCATATTACCAGCTATATTAAATCCGTATTACCAACTGTAAATTTAAACACACTCCATGAGTCACCATGCTTCTATTAATGAAAACCCATGGTATCAAAAAAAAAAAAAAAAATTCAAAGCTGAAAATAATTGGACCTTGAAAGGGTATTAAGGGCCTATTTGCCTATCTCCCGGAGGCTATTGGATGGATTCCTAGGGAGGGAACAGTGGTAGGCAGAAAAGAATTTCTTCCTCAGCAGTCCCAGAGGGCTAGAGTCAGGTCAAGACTTGCTTTCCTGGTTGTTTGTTTATTCATTTGTACGTGTCATTCATTCATTCACTTAAGTATTCATACATCCAGCAAATATTTATTGCGCCCCTAGGCACTGCTGCAGACACTGGAGATACAGCAGTTAATAAGACAGACAAATCCTGACTTCAAAGAGCTTACTTACATTCTAGTGGGAAAGAGAGACAAATAAGTAAATAATTTTAGATAGCAAAAACTGCTAAGAAAGTAGAATTAGGAGGCTGGAGAGTAAAGGTGACTAAAGATGGTCTACTTAGAATTGTTAAGTAAAGGCTGTCTGGGGAGATGACATTTGAAAAGAACTGAATGATATGAGCCATGTGAAGATCAGGAGAAGAGTATTCTGGGCAGAGGGAACAGTATTCAAGAAGAGTTGTATGACTCAAGTATGAATGATGAGGAAGATGGTAGGAGAATGTAGTCAAAGATTAGATTGTGTAGGGTCCTATAGGCCAAGGTAAGAAACATGGATTATTGCTAGTGTAATAGGAAATCATTGAAGGGTATTCAGCAGAAGAGATGCAATTTTGGTTTTAAAAATGTCACTGGTTGCTATGTAGAGAATAGACTTTCGGGGACAAAAATAGAAACATGAAGACCAGATTGGGAGCAAATGCAATAGTGAGATATGTTTTGAGGGTGGAGATGATAGGGTTTGCTGATGACCTGGGTATTGGGGGTGAGGAAAAGAAATGAGAATGATTGCCCAGGTTTTTGGCCTGAGCAGGTAGGTGATTGTTAGTATCATTGAGATGGAGATAGCTGGGGAGGTTTGGTGGTAGAAATCATGAGTTCTGTTTTAGACATGTTAAGTCTGAGGTGCTGACTAGCTATACAGGTGGGCTGTGTGTGTGTGTGTGTGTGTGTGTGTCTGTGTGCGCGCATGCACACGCGCACGTACATTTTCAGTGTAGTAGTGGTTCTGAGTCTCTTCCTGCTGGGGAGTGGAGAAAGGCTAACTTCTGTTTATCCTTTCCATTCTTTTTCTTTGAATTAGATTTGTATTCTGGACTGGGAAGTGACGTCTAGTGTCTCCATGGCCAGCTACTGGCTCTTACAGACCAGATGAAGTGGATTGGAGACACAAGTGGAGAAAGCCTCCAGCTGGCACATCCCCAGAGTGTGGCCCTCTGGCTGCTGGCTCTGCCCAGCCTGCCTCATGGAGAGGATGAATTGGCTGAGCAGACTGGCCTCCCGGGGCCCTGGGCACCGTGTACCTCAAGGGGCCAGTCTGCAGACCCCTGTCATGGCTGACCCTGAGACCTGCCTCATGGTCTTCAAGAATCATTGGTCCCAGGTAGGAGACTATATGCCAGAGGGCCTGGTTCACTGGCTGCCTGCATCCTCCTTACCTGTGTTCTCTCACGATCTCATTCAGTCACCTTATTATCTTAGATTTCTTCCATCTTCTGCCTTGTTTCCTCAGGTGGTGCGAATTCTGGAGCGGCGAGGCCCTCAGGCGGCTCCTGGGGGTGCAGATGATCTCAGCGCTGTGTGCAACCACACTTATCAGATGTTGACACTGTTGGCAGAGGATCGTGCAGTCCCTTCGGCCCCCACAACCCCTGGGCCCTTGCTGGAGTTTGCCCTGCGTGAGGATTTGCTGAGCCGTGTATTGGCATGGCAGCTGCAATGGGATGAGTTTGGAGATGGGGTTGAGGAACGGCGGGCTGAGCAACTAAAACTATTTGAGATGCTAGTGAGCGAAGCTCGCCAGCCACTGTTGCGGCACGGTCCAGTTCGAGAAGCTCTGCTTATCCTGCTGGATGCCTGCGGCCGCCCCGTGCCCAGTAGCCCAGCACTGGATGAAGGCCTGGTGCTACTTCTCAGCCAGCTATGTGTGTGTGTGGCACGGGAGCCTTCATTGCTTGAGTTCTTCCTGCAGCCACCTCCTGAGCCTGGAGCTGCCCCTCGCCTTCTTCTCTTTTCTCGCCTTGTCCCCTTTGTCCATCGAGAGGGCACTGTGGGTCAGCAGGCCCGTGATGCCCTACTTCTGCTCATGGCACTGTCAGCTGGGAGCCCCACTGTGGGCCGCTACATCGCAGACCACTCTTACTTCTGCCCGGTCAGCATCCCCTGGGATGGGAGTGGGTGGGTAGGGTATCGTGTATAGACACTGGACAGTGCCTTCCTACCCAGGAGATGTAGAGGGGCTATATACTAGGGCCCGCTCCTCCAGGAAGTAGTAGCCCCCTGGGTTTGAGGGAGTTGAGGTGGGGATGAAACATAGGCTTAGGTGGATGGAGCAGGTACTAAGGCTTTTTGTGGGCCAGTGTTCCCAGGTGATGTCCTCACCCCCTTGGTAGGTGAATACCTGTTCTGGTAATAGCTCTTCTCCCTACTCCTATCCAAACTCTGGATTAAGAGCTCCCCGCTGTTCCCCCTTTATATATTGTTCGAGCCTTTGGTAACCTGTCCTTGGGGATGGCCCCTAGGTGCTGGCCACAGGACTGAGTGCTCTGTACTCCTCACTGCCCCGAAAGATTGAGGTTCCAGGGGATGATTGGCATTGCCTGCGACGAGAGGACTGGCTGGGAGTGCCAGCTCTTGCACTCTTCATGAGCTCCCTAGAGTTCTGCAATGCAGTCATTCAGGTAGGACTGGGATTCCCTGCAGGTCTGGCCCTGGGTCATCCTGGGGAGATGGGATGAGAGAGGGTATATTCCCTGGAGTTCTGCTATTCTGCCATATTGGCCATTGGGCACTTTCCGGTATTGTACCATTTTGTTCCCTTCCAGACAGTGGTCCCCCACACAGTCCTCCTTCCTCTGTCTCGCACCCCTACAGGTAGCTCACCCCCTGGTGCAGAAGCAGCTGGTTGATTATATCCATAATGGGTTCCTGGTGCCTGTCATGGGCCCCGCCCTGCACAAGGTGAGAGTCATGGGTGGCAAGGCAAATTAGGGGCTAGGCTGAGGGATGGTTATCTCAGTGCCAGGACCAGTGTGGGAGGCAGTGGGCTGGGTCTTCCTCATTTTTCCCTCTCTGCTCCTGGTTCCTCCTTAGACTAAACTCAGGGAAAATGACCCTCTGCTCAGTGTATGTGTAGGGAAGCCCTAAATTTCCAAACTTTCCCTTCCCTTCCTCCAGACCTCTGTGGAGGAGATGATCGCCAGTACTGCCTATCTGGAACTTTTCCTACGGAGTATCTCAGAGCCTGCCTTGCTCCGTACCTTCCTGCGATTCCTGCTGTTACACCGGCATGACACCCACACCATCCTTGACACCCTCGTTGCCCGTATTGGCAGCAACTCCCGGGTATGGCCCCTATCTCTGTCCTGGCTTACCTGGGTGAGCCATCTTCTCTCTCTGACCTTTGTTCTGGGAGGGTGTTCTTGCCCTTCTTCTTTGGCCTCTGTCTCCAGCAGTCACTTCAAAATCAGTGGTTTTAAACTTTAACCATTTAGGTACAGATTTTGTAATATATAGATCTAGACCACAGTGATCTTTTCTGGATAACTTGGCTGCTCATCATGATGATAGGTTTCTCCTTTGTGCTTTATTTGTAATGTAGCATTGGCCTGAGGTTCTCTTCAGCTGTTTATGGCTCTGTGGCCTGCTATGGGTGACTTGAAACCACTTCTTTAAGTTTTGTGTTTGCTTTGATAGATAATCCAGTGGCTACCGGCATACTTAACCTTTTCTCTCCTTTGGATTTACTGCATTTGAGGTGCTATGACTTTGGACGCTCATCCACCTACCTACTCACCTACATTCTTTCCTTCTGAACATTTTTGTTGAATGGTCACTATGGGCCATACTGTTTGCTAGTGTTGGGGATATAATGATGAGCAAGGTAGATGTGGTTGCTGAATTCACAGAGCTTACTGTTTAGTGGAGGAAGATAGACGAACACATTAATAAAGTAATTGAAAATTATTTTAAAATTATTTTAAGCACAAGGTGCTTAGGAAATAATAGGGAAGGTGGTCAAGGAAGACCTCTCTGAGGACGTGGCATTGAACTGAGACCTAAAGGTCATGAAGGAGTTAGCTATTGAAGAACAAATGGAAGAACAGTTTAGGCAAAGGGAACAGCATGCAAAGCACATCAAATGGGGAAGAATTTAATATATTTGAGGAAATGCAAGGCCAGTGTGGCTGGAGGTGTAGTGTGCATGGGGGAGAAGGGAAGTAGATGAGAATAGAGAGATAGGTAAGATCCAGATCATGCATGGCCTTGTAGACCATGGCAAAAAGTTTGAATTTTAACCAGTAGAAATGTGTATAAAATAGGAGTAAATAGTTTCCAAGTAATAAAGACCTGGAGGCTTTCCCTGGAAATAAAGCATGAGTTTTAGCCATAGGCTTGATGGTACCTCTTTTGGCTTTGGGACTATTTTTGTTTTCTTCCTTTATTTCAATAGTTGGAGTCCCTGGATCTTTGTGTTTAAAATAGGAGAGGTTCTTGGATCACTAAGGATTCTGGAAAACTTCTGGGTAATTAGAGACGCTTTGAAGTGGGATGCCAGGTAGGTGAGGTTCCTAGATAGCTATGTTTTATGTAGGTGAGGTTTCTGAATAAGTTTGGGTATGTGTGAGATATTACAGACTGACTCTGATTAGACTTGTGTTTCTGAACCAGGTGTACACTTCAGAATCATCTATGGAGCTTTGATAACGACAAGTACAACAAAATCAGGCTTACTACAACAGTAACAGATTTTAAGCTCTGCCGTAGATTTCTTGAATTATAATCTCTGGGAGTAGGCCCAGGGCATGTGTATGTTTCAAATGTTCCAAAAAGTAATTATGACACATGCCTAAGAATTACTGGTATAAGCCAATAGCTTTATATTACTGGTATAAGCCAACATCTTACAAATATATCACAAAAGTTTTATCTCTTATTGTGTTGAAGTTAGGCCGTGGATTTATGTGTTTGACCTCATGGAATGTCCTGTTCATATTTAGGGATAGCTGCTTTCCTTCTGAGGTTGATTTTTTCCTGTGCTGAACTCTGTCTTCCTTTCGTTTTAATCTATCCCAACTGCTTTTCTGTGATTCTTCTTCAGTTTGTGCTTAGTCTTTAGCACTTATTTCTGTTAGTTTTCCATTTGTCCCTGGTCTCAGGAGCCTTTTATATTCTTGGTTCCAGGTTCTTGGAGGAGCGAGATCTCTTCAGATTTCAGGATGTCCATGTTAAACATGCAGTGCTTTGCTTTCTACTATCTAGCCCTCAAGCTTAATTCTGTTGGTGTGACTTTGACTGTAACTTAGGTAGCCTGCTTTTGTGCTTTGAAGTGAATCATGCTGACTAGCCAGTCTATGTGCCTGTCTGTATTAGTATCCTATTGCTGCCAAAAAATGACTACAAACTTAGTGGCTTATGACAACACAGATTTTTAACCTTACAGTTCTGTAGGTCATAAGTCTGACATAGGTCTCACCAGCCTAATTCAGAGTGTTGGCAGGGCTGCATTTCTTGCTGGAGGTTCTGGGAGAGGATCCATTTCCATGCTCACTTGGGTTGGCAGAATTCAGTTCCTGTAGTTGTAGGACTGAAATCTCTGTTCTCTGGCTGGCTGTCAGCTGAGGGCCATTCCTAGCTTCTAGAGACCAGCCACATTCCTTGACCTGTGGCCCCCTTTTTCTGTCTTCAAAGCCAGCACAGTGTATCAAGTCCCTCTCATGCTTCAAATCTCTCTTCCAAAAAAGGCTCTCCAACCATGCAGGATAATCCTTCCATCTCAAATTCCATAACCTTGATCACATCTGTAAAGTCCCTTTTGTCTTGTTCATATTCACGGGTTCTGGGGATTAGGATGCAGACATCTTTGGGGGACATTATTTTGTCTACTATACTGTGTTTCTGTGGGTCTTGAGTTTTTTCATCTATTGCTAGTTAAAGTGACCTTTTTGGATAAGTCTCTTGAACATCCATGCTGTTCAAAATGCAAACTGTTTTCTCATCTCTTTTTCAGTGTATGGTTGGCTTTTAACTCTTCCAGTCATTTAGCAAATGATGAGCACCTAGACTATGCTAGATAGTGCTCCAGACTAAGATCCAATAGTTGTCTTCAGGGAGCTTAAGGTGTCTGATGTACTTGCCACAAAGGAAGTACAGAGAAAGTGCTATGGGGATTCAGAGGAGCGAGGGAGAGCTTATGTGTGTCTGTTCTTGCCTAGCCAGAGATGAACAACCCTTCTTCCTTTTCTAAAACAAAAGACTTCCTCTGCTCTAGACCCACCTACTTCTTCCTTATCCTGTCAGCTGCCTTTGAGCTTTTCTTTATCCTACCTTCTGAGAGATACTGGTGTTGGAGACATGACTCAGGCTTCTTGTTCCCAGCCCCACCCACTTCCCAGCTGGGATTCTTCCAGTTTCCCTCTGGTTTCTTGTTGATAGGCATTTAGTTATTGTGCACTTACAGTCCCTGCTGACAGGTCTTCATTTAGTTACTATGTAGCTGTTGTCTCTTGTTAGTTTCCTTCTTAGAGTCTCTTTTTATGGGTATTTGGTCCCTTTAAGTATTGCTGGAGTCTCTGCTGACAGGTATATATTGCCAGAGGATTTGCTAATGTGTGTGGTCTGTTGAAATACACTGAGTCTGACACATGGTTCATTCCTGTCTGTAAATAGGAAGTCTTGACCACAAAGATCATGTGATCATTTATTTAGTTAATGTTTGAATGACTATTATGTGCCTGGCCCTGTGCACATTTGTTTCTCTAGGAGCGGTTGGGTTGGGTTGGGGCTGGGGGCTTCCCATTTGGTGAACAAGCTTAGAGTGTAGAGAGCTCTGTGGTGACTCCCTTCCTCCTCCTTCACCCTCTAGCTCTGCATGGTCTCTCTGAGTCTCTTCAGGACTCTACTGAACCTCAGCTGTGAGGATGTCTTGCTGCAGCTGGTTCTCAGGTACCTGTGGGGGCAGGACTGGGACTGGCTGACCCTGAACCCTCAGGGCCCTCAGTGCCTTGTGCATTGCTGAGGGTTTGGGCTGTATTGGGGCTGCTCAAGTGTTTCCTCTTGGAGCCTGGCTTAGCCATATAGTTCCACTGACCTGATGTTCTCCCAGGCCCTATCTTCCTTCCTGATCCGCCCGTGTCCTCTTTCTGCTGTCTTTCCCAGGTATCTTGTCCCGTGTAACCACGTGATGTTGAGCCAGAAGCCAGCTGTGCGTGATGTGGACCTATATGGGCGAGCAGCTGACAAGTTTCTCTCCCTAATCCCACGCTGTTGCCGGCACTGTGCCCCTAGCCCACCCCGTCAAGAGCATGCCTCGTGGGCACGAGGTGGGCCTTGCAGAGAGGCAGGGAGAAGGGAGGACACTGCGGGTATGGCCTGGGTTCTGGAAAAGCCTAGCAAAAAAGTGGGGTTAGGGTGAGGGGAAGGAGGTGGCTGTGAGTGACATTCCATCTTTGGAGAGGTTGGTGAGGGGTCTTGCAGTGAGGATCCTTAACCCCACCAAAGAAATTTAGGGTGGGACTTCTGAACAGAGCTGTTCCTGTTCTTCATTCCAGTTTTGTACTCTTCTGTTTCCATTGTTTCTTTGGTGTTGGGGGTTGTGAGAGGGGGTGAGGAAAAGGTTAATCTGGAAGGTAGAGAGTCAGGTGTCTGAATAAGTCCCATGTTCTGCCCCCTTTCTCAATCTCTCTAAATGTCTGTCCTTCCTGGACTTTTGTCTCTTTGATCCCTCTTAGGTTTTTTTCCCTTTGCAGGCCCTGGAAGCCCAAGTGCTGATTCCTCTTCTGTGGTAACAGCGCCCCGGCCCTCTACACCGTCTCGTCTGGCCCTCTTCTTGCGGCAGCAGAGCCTGGGTGGCTCTGAGCCCCCAGGCCCAGCCCCTCGCTCCCCAGGGCTTGCTGCATCCCCAACCTCCAGCCCTGGTCGACGGCCCAGCCCAGCAGAGGAGCCTGGTGAGCTGGAAGACAATTACCTGGAGTATCTGCGTGAGGCACGTCGTGGTGTAGACCGCTGTGTCCAAGCCTGCCGTACCTGGTCTGCCCCCTATGATGGCGAGAGGCCCCCTCCTGAGCCCAGTCCTGTTGGCTCCCGGACTAAGAAACGCAGCCTACTGCCTGAGGAGGGCAGGGACAATGTGGGGGAAGGGGAGGAGGAAGAGCTGGGGAGTGGGAGACTGGCTGGGGGTGTAGGTGGGGGCCCTGGCCACCTGCCCCCTTCCCAGCTCAATGGGGTACCAGGACCATGGCCAGAGGGGGCCAAGAAGGTTCGTCGGGTGCCAGAGGAGGGAGCTGGGGAACTGCTAGAGGGCACCTCCGAGGGCATGGCAGGACTAGAGGGCTTTGGGCAGGAGCTCCAGGAGCTGGAGGTGGCATTGAGCAATGGAGGGGCTGGCTCAGAGCCCCCACTAGAGCCTCTACTACCTCTTGAGGAGGAGGAGGCCTACGAGAGCTTCAGCTGTCCCCCTGAGCCCCCTGGCCCCTTCCTCAGCAGCCCTTTGCGGACTCTCAACCAGCTGCCAAGCCAGCCCTTTACTGGTAAGCTACTTAACCTAGGTCTTCTTTTTTATGTAATCTCTGCATGTTCTCGACATGTTTGTGCTGATTCCTGAGACTTCTTGGCCTATGTCATTTCTGTGTCCTTGCGTAGCCCCTCATACATTCTGCTTGGGTCACTCCAAGATACATATCATGTCATCTGTCTCTATCTGTATGTTTTCCACGCTTATGCTGATTTGAGTACTTACTTAAGTCTGAGCCTTGTACGTCCATCCTCTGTGCATGTTCCTCCTCTTCCTCCAGTCTGGCTGGTTCCCGGGATTTGTGATCAAGATATTCTGTGTTTGATGTCTCTTGGTGAATCACAGCAATGACCCTTATGGAAGGCATGTGTGCTATCTTGTGTGAGAGGTACCGGCATCTCTCTGTTGGGAATCATATGGTTCCTACCAGTATATCTGCCTGGGTATTGGGTCTGCTGTCGGCTCTCCTGTGATCCCAGGGTCCGCTTTTCTGGTGCCCTTCCCCTGCTCTTCCCTGGGCTCCTTCCTCCCTGCTTCTTTAAAGATCCAATTTCAAGTTTCTCCTGCCTCCGTCTCCCCACCCCGCATCCTTGTACCTTGTTAGTTGCCAAGACTACCCAGTGAGACTTTTTTAGAGATTTATGGTTAGTAGTAAGAATTGAAACAGATAAGGTAAAATACCTTTTTCAGGGCAAGTGACAAAGTGTGGCTTTGTGCTCCCCAGCTGAGTTCCTTTGGATGCTCTAGGATGCCCATGGAGCTAGACCTGACCAGAGTGGCTGGACTAACTCCTGTCTGTTTTTGCTTTAGAGCCAGCCCTACCTAGCCTAGCCCTCATCCTGCTCTTATCCGCACTCCTCACCCTGCACCAGTAAAAATACAAACAAACAAACAAACAAACAAAAAAAAAAACAAGCAAAAACAACACCTCTGGGAAGGTGTGCTAAGACCACGGGCTTTGGATTAGACATACCTTGAGTTAGCAACCCTTCTATGACATTGATGCATGTAAATCACTAGGTACAATGCTGGTACACTGAGAACTCAGCAAGTGGTAGCTTTTCACTAGGATTATCATCTCTGGATGCCTGGTAGATTTAAGTTGCCTGAGGCAACCACCCATCTTCCAGTTGTTTGTAGTCAAGTTGCCATACCATCATCACTACCTGTCCTGACTGGGCCTGGGATATGTTTCTCTCCTGCTTGCACAGCATCAGGACTTCTACCCTGGAGTCATGCAAACTCCCTCTTCTTGCAGACTGTAGAAAATATATCTTTCCGTTTATTTACCCTCTGCGTGTTCCTTCCTACTCAGTTACCATTAGAAGATGGTGTGCAGGTTTTACCGTAGTCTGGAAGCATTAATTGAAGCTTCTGCACTTTTTCCTCTTGGTAAGCTTATTTGATAGGAGCCTTGGTGGTGCAGTGGTTAAGCTCTTGGCACTAACTGAAAGGTTGGCAGTTCGAACCCACCAGCTGCTCCATGGGAGAAAGATATGGCAATCTGCTTTTGTAAAGATTACAGCCTTGGAAACTCTGTGGGACAGTTCTACTCTCTCCTGTAGGGTTGCTATGAGTCGGAATCAACTCGATGGCAATGGGTTTTAAGCTTATTTGAGCTTTACTAATTGCCTCTTGCAGCAAAGTTCCAGGGAGAGAGAGGAATAGGACAAAGTTATGAGGTATCTTAGGAACCTGTTAAAGTAGAGTTGTTTTAGAGCTAAGGCTAGTTATGTGCATCTGGAGTAAGAGATGTTTTGGGATCTTTTTCAAGACACCTCCTTTTGCCCTTCCTTGTTCTGTCTCAGTTCATAATGCAGTTCTTAGATACACGTCGTTTCCCTCACCAATTTCTGATTAGAAAGACTGTAATGGTTCTAGAGTCTTAGTCCTGGTGATCTGGCTCAGTTAGAGGTCAGTTGTTTCAGCAGATCCTTCTAATCCCTTCTGTTAACCTTCTCCTCTATCAATGAGTCTGTCCTGAATCAGTTTTCTTTGATCCTGACTATGCTGTCCTTTTTCATTCCACCTTCTTGGTTTCCAGCTCCTGAAGAACAGAGCTGATTTCTTCTCTGGTCCCCCAAAGAGTTCTCTCCTAACTTTAAGTTGGCCCACATTGTCACTTTCTTTGCCTTAGCTACACTTTTCTTTCTGACCCAGGTCTAGTGATACCCAGTGTCTTGTATGTAACCTGATTTTTCTTTTTGGTTCTAATCACTTTCCCTGCCCGCTCTTTCTTCTTTTTTCCTTCTTGGGTGAAGCTTTTTTTAAAAACTGAGAAATATTATGTAGCCTATATTGAACACGTACACTTTTCCAAATCTTGGGCTAAATGCTTTATATCGATAACTATCTCACTGAACCTCTTAGTAACCTTATGAGGTAGGTGTATTTTCTTATTTTACCAAGTAGGAAATTGAAACTTAGAGAGTTTTGATTTGCCAAATAATATAACTAGTAAAGGATAAAGCTAAAATTTGACTAGGGCTGACTCCAGAGCCTAAGGTCTGGCTCTTTAGCTTGAATGTGTGTAAAGCTGGTATCTGGACTCTTGTGGATCCATGTGGTGTCTTCCATTTTATCTTGTCCAGCATACGTGGTCATGGGATATTTAAACATACCCAGAGGCTGACATACAAACAATTTTCATCTAGTGGGGTCTCTTGGTTTGGGAGGAATGCTTGCGATATGCATTGTGTTCAGGCCTTGTATCCTTGTGCCCACCCCCCCAGGCCCCTTCATGGCTGTGCTCTTTGCCAAACTTGAGAACATGCTGCAGAACTCCGTCTATGTCAACTTCCTACTGACGGGGCTGGTGGCCCAGCTGGCCTGTCACCCCCAGCCCTTGCTCCGCTCTTTCCTGCTCAACACCAACATGGTCTTCCAGCCCAGTGTCAAGTCCCTGCTGCAGGTGTGCGATGCATGCATGGGTGCGTCCAGGCTCCATGGTGGGCCAGGCCCGCAGCTGGAGTGGCTCTGGGGGGACTGGGAATGCCCAGTAGGGCTAGAAGGGACTGTGTTGGTCTGGAGCCTTCCAGAAATATCATGAAGTTGTGCTTCATAGGTGCTGGGCTCTGTGAAGAATAAGATTGAGAACTTTGCGGCCTCCCAGGAGGACTTCCCAGCACTGCTTTCCAAAGCCAAGAAGTACCTCATTGCCCGTGGCAAGCTGGACTGGCCTGAGGGCCCTGCAGCAGGACCTGTCCCCCGCCGCTCGGATCCCCTAGGTGAGGCCTACCCTACCACCCCTCTCCCTACCCTACGTAGACAGCTAATTAGCCGAAGCTAATTGAGCACTTATTAAGGGTAAGACTTTGTGCTAGGAACTGAGGAGTTGTAGAAAATTGAGTCTTGATTTTTGTCCTCAGGTTCCTTGTTAGAGGATAGAACATAACTCTGTTCACTAAGAGCTAAATTAGCAGTACCAGCAAAAATTGCTCTTGGAGTTGGGAACAGGCAAAGGGACAGAGTAGTCTATAGGGTTGAGATATTGTTACAACTTGGTAAAGAACATGGTATTTGGCATGGCCCTTAAGATATGTGTAGGACTTAAGTAGGCAAAAGAGTGGGAGGTTTTTAATCTTTTGTTCAGGGGACAGCATGGACCATTTAGTTGGAGTCACTTTGGAAAGTGATGGAACAGTTGGTGGTAATCCAGGAAAGATTTGACCAGAGCAGAAGATTCCCAGAGTAGAAATTGCACTGGGTAGAAGTTATGATCTTTTAGGCAGTGAGAAACTATTGGAGATTTTTGAATCTGGAAGTGGCGAGATGAGTATGTTAGGTCATGTGCTAGGTGAATTGGAGCTAGAAGAAAATAGAGGCAGGAAGAGCAGTCAGGAGGCTTCTGCAGTAATGCAAATGTGACCTGTAAGGCTCGAATTAGAGTAATGGAAATAGAAAGGAAGAATTTAAGGTAGAAATGGGAAGAAAGTATTGGCAGAATATGGTGAGTGGTTGTGTGGTATAAGGAAGAAGGAAGAGCTAATATGGCCATGAAGTTTTAAATCTAGATCTTTCATTCACCAGGTATCTGAGCACTTGCTATATATGCTAGGCACTTGGTATAGAGGATTCAGTGAGATAAAGACATGGTCTCTGCCTTCAAAGAACGTACAATCTGTAGAGTAACTAGGGGATGGTAATAACTGAGGTAATAAGGTCCCAGAGATGGTGGAAATAATGGATTCCAGGACACCAGTAAGAATTTGGACAGAAAAAGGGCTTTGTAGGTTTGTTTTTTCACCCCTCTGCGGCAAGTGAAGAGGGAATAAAGAGAAAATGACACGTACGAATAGAGTTGTGAAGAGTGAGGAAGGTTAAAGAACTGGTGTCATCCATTATTTGCTAGTCATAATAATATGCTGAGAGCAAGAGAACAGAGGTGAGATGGCAGCTTAAGGAGAAAAGTGTATGGGTTGGGAAGAGTACCACACAGCTGTGAGGATCCGTTGGAAATTCCATGGGAAATGCCTTAACATGATCTCCTCCTGGTCCAGTACTGTGAATATTCTTGTTTCCACTGCCTTGGCACTGTGGTCACTGTGGAGGGCCCAGGGATACAAAGGTAAATAAGTCACACTCCAAGCTCGTGGATTAGAGCAAGAGGTAGAAGACATGTAAACAAATTACTAACGTATGATGTAGTAAGGGCAGTAAAATAGGAAGTTAGTGGAGAGGAAATCAGAGGAGGTTTTCCAGAGAGGCGGGGATAGTAAAATTCATCCAGGAAGGATTGAAAAAAGTGGGGAGAGCAAAATTTAGGCAAAGGGAGCTACGGAAGCATGCAGACTGCTTGGGGGGTTTCAGGGAGAGCAGATAGGTGTGAATGCAAAAGCAGAGTGGGTATGGAGAGTTTTGAGAAGAGATTGGAGAGAGTAGGTGGAGCCTGCTTGTGAAGGGCTCTGAATGCCATGTTTAATAGAAGTGTATAGCATCTCTGTGTAGCCAGTATTAAGGGTAGGCAGTACGGGCTGTATAGTGATTTAGAGGCTAGAATCTAGACCCTAGATAGTGGGCATAGATCCAGAGTCAGGAATCTAGGCAGAAAGGTTAGAATCTAGGAGAATAGGCAGTGTCTTAAACGGTTCATTTCAGTCTAAGGTGACATGAAGTTTCCTGGCCACAAATAGTGGATGGTTGGCTTTGGTAGCTATTGGAGAGGGACTGTTAGACAGTGAAGTGGTGGTACAGGAGAGCAGAACTTGGAGGGCAGTGGAGTATGAAGGAAATGAAATAGTCACCGACCTATGATTGCACATATGGTCCCTGTGAGTATTGACGGAGCAGAGGATGGGGGCCGGGCATTATTTATAGATAGGAAGGGGTAACGTGGAGGGGGGTGACTAGTTCAGGAAGGTGATGGGAAGCATGAAGTAAGGGCTTGTTAGGGTTTGAGGAGAAATATCTTGGCAGTGGTAAAATAGTGATTAGAAAGAGAGGATTTGTAGTAGAATCCCTCAGGGTAAGGGGATGTGGAGAAGGAAGTGGCTGGGAATGAAGTGGCTAAAGTGTTTAGAAGACTGAAGATGGAGGTTAGCTGAGTGGGGAGGCTGGACAGAGGGAGGAAGGCTGGACAGGCAGCATTTTGGTGCTAGAGTGAGAAAGAGCTCCTTCCCACTCTAGTCTTCAGATTCATCTTGAGGGATGGGACAGGAAATGGTGTCTGAGGTTCATTTCTGGCCCATTTGGTCCTTTATTCTATTCCCTTACTACCCTTGTCAAGAAGTCCATGAACCTAGCGGGTGGGGGAATCTCCTTTCCCAGGCCAAGGGAGATTCCCTGACTCCAGACTTCTGTGATACCCATTTATTCCCAGTGAAGAGCCGGAGGCCATCCTTGGGGGAGTTGCTCCTGCGGCACGCACACAGTCCAACCAGGGCCCGCCAGGCAGCACAGTTGGTCCTTCAGCCTGGGCGAGATGGAGCAGGACTTGGCCTAGGTGGGGGCTCCCCTGGGGCTTCAACTCCAGTTCTGCTCCCCCGGGGCGGGGCACCTGAGCGCCAAGGTGAGGCTCTGCGTGTCAAGAATGCTGTCTACTGTGCAGTCATTTTCCCTGAGTTTCTCAAGGAGTTGGCTGCCATCTCCCAGGCCCATGCTGTCACCTCGCCTTTCTTGTTGGATACTTCAGAGGAGGGTTCTGGCTCTCCTGTCTCAGGCTTTGGGCCCCTCAATCCTTAACTCTCTGCCATGGACAATCAGGGCCATGGGTGGCCTGGGTTGGGGCCAGGGCACAGGCTCCTTTTTATGTTTGGAGGCAGTGGCAAGAGGACTTTTTAATTTATTTCAGAAGAATTGTTTTATGGAGAACTTATTGCAATATGTATAAAAGGGAAATCTCTGTTCTGTGCTTATCCTTCTTTCCCACCCTTTTCTATGGGGCTGGGGCCCCAAGAAGGTTGTACATGGATGGGGAGATGGTTAGGGGTATTTTTTCTCTGGAGGACATTGATGCCAGGTTTCAAGGTTCCTCTTATGTCCTATGTTGCATCCCCTTAGAGGGTGAGGGGGCATGAAACCTACAGAAAAAAATAGGTACTCTTCCCCTCCTCCAGACCCCAGAAGGAAGAAGCAGCGTGGGGCCAGGATGGTTTGGGGGAGCAGCAGCTGGTGTTTATTGGGGACCAGTATCCCTATGCCAGATCTTGGGGGCCTTGCCCCCTGCATCTCTTGCCTCAGCCTCAGTCGTCGCTGTCGAACTCTGAGGATAGACCCTGCAGCAGGGGCAGGGACATGGAGTGCCGGTCGGGGTCCCCGGGGCCCCCACCCTGGCCTCCTGGTGGGGGGCTGCGGGGGCTGAAGAGCCAGTTTTCTGCCAGGGTTGGGGATATAGTCACAGCTTGACTCATGTCCTGGTCTTTTGCCTCCCTAGTCCCTCCCTTTGGTCCTCTGTGTTGTCCCCACCCCTTGCCAAGGCCATGCTTCTGTCTCACCACCCCCACCCCCCGGCTCCCTCTCTTCCTTTCCCATACCAGGGTCCATTACATAGTCATGGGTACACCACACGTTCCTGGGCTGTACTCCCCGTGCCCTCTCCCTCTCCACCTTGTCCCATCCCTCATTTCCATTTCCCTTAGCAGTACCTGACAGCATCAGTGGTCCCCTCCGGAAGAGGTTTCGGCCCTTGTAGGAGAATCTGGTGGGTCTGCCCTCTGGCCCTTCCTGGGGAGGTGGTGTCGGTGGGGCTGGTACAGGTGGGGGCACAGTGGCAGCTTCGGGGATATTAGCAGGGGTTAATGTGGGGGCCAGAGGTGACATGATGCCGAGGTTGGGTCTGACCCAGTTGGCCCCATGGGGCAGTGGGTCCTTGGTCAGGGGCTTCTGTGGTCCCAGCACACCCTTGGGCTGCAGTGAAAACTTGAGGCAGGAGAAGGCAATAGGCAGTGACCTCTGTAACCGGAGCAGCTGGGGCTCACGGGCTGTGGGCAGTAGCCCCAGCTGCAGCCAGGAGCAGGAGAAGACCTGGTAGATGACATAGATGCTGTGGGTGCTTCGGAGCCAAGGAAGAGTCTGCTGTAGGCTAACCTGCCCTGGTGGCAGCAGGAGGAAGGCCACCTTCTTGCGCAGACCACCCAAATGTAAGCGGATCCGGCAGGGCTGTCCATCCAACAGTCGCATCTCTTCATAGGTTATCTCTGCCCGATCATTTGGTGAGTATTCTTGAGTACAATGGGCAAAAGCATCCTCGGACCCTGCCTGCTCCAGGAGGCTTGGCAGTGGCCCCACTGGTTGCAATGCGCGCCGGCCCTGGCGACCTGGCAAAGCCAGGCGGATATGGGCTGGGCGGGACTGTTTCACTAGCACTCCTAGTAGGTCATAGCAGGCTGCATCTGACAGGAAAGGTACTGCCACTACACCGGGCCCAAAGCGCTCCTCAATGACCTGCAGGTGGCCAGTTTATAGGTCAGTGACTGAGTGAGGGTCAGGAGTTAGCTAGTAGCTTACTCTAGACAGATCTTCCCACTGTTCAACTACATCTTCACAGTGTACTGAAATGGTCATACTTCCTGCTTATCTCCCAGTTCTCTTCTGCAGCAAAACTTCGAATGTCTATGTGCCAAATTCTGCTAGATACTGAGAATACATAAAAGGGTGACACTTTGTCCTTGTCCTATTATAGCTCATCTCATGGGGGAGACAAAAATTAGGTAAATAAAGTAATAGGGAGCAGGGTATGGAGAAGACAGAAGTGGTTAACAGTCTTTGTCTTTGATAGAAAGGGGACCAAAGATGGTTTCTAAGTGGTAATACTTGAGCTTTGAAGGAATTAGTGAGGTAGGAGAATGGTCAATTCAGACAGAGGGGATAACCAGTGAAAACGCCTGAACTTGCAGCCAAGAGGGGCACGTTCAGGAACACATAATTTCATATTAATGTAGGGTCTGAAGAAGGAGAGGCAGACAGGAACTAGATTATGAAAGGCCTTTTGATTTGCTAAGTGACTGAAATTTTATCCTGAGGGCAATGGGAAGCCACTTGAAGGGCGGTATCAGGTGTTTAAGAAAGCAAATTTTGAATAGGAAGGCATGAGATAAGGAGAGGTAGAGAGATCAGTTTGAGTATTGAAAACTCACAGCACGAGATGATAAGGGCCTGAACTGAAATAATGGGTGAGATATTAAGAGAGATTTAGGTGTAGAATCAATAGAGCTTGATCACGGAAGGATTGTGGGAAAATGGATCCTCAAGGGTCATTCCTAGGTAATTGGTTAGGCGGATGATGTCATTAACCAGTAATAGGTACACAGAAGTAGATGTGGAATGTTCTTTCACACATGGTATTTATAACCCCTTAGCATACATCTGTACTAGCTGCAGGGGTTATAAAAAAGATAGTTCTTTAAAGGGAACCTGAGACCTCATCTTTGTAATGCTAGTTCTGACAAGCTTTTAGGGATTCTAGTTTCCCTTGGTTTTGTCCTTGTCTTGGCCTTTTTGGGCTTGGTAACCCAACTCTGGAAACCCTGTAAGATCTCTAGTAATTGTACCTAGGTTTTATGGTTTTTGACCCATCCAGGATATTGTTGACTGAGATTTCTGGCTCTGTGTTCTGCTAGGGAGCAAGGGCACATAAAATTCCCTCTTTGGGCCCCTTTCGTGTCTGAGCCCTATGCCTAAAGTGCTATGCTCCCTACCCTCAGCCACCAAATCCCACACGTCCGTGTACCTACTCATGGCATTGCCCACTTTGCTGGCCTGCTGGTAGAATTCACCAATTGTCCTTTAGGCTGCTCTTTCTGCTACATAAAGCTATTTTTGAAGTGCTGCCCTCTAGCTTAAGAGGAAGGTAGCTGTCTGATTGAGTTGTGTCTGTACTGTGGACAAACTGAAGTAGCTGGAAGATTATGATCTTTTGCCACCTGGCCAAGGAAATAGGTATTTCTTGATCTTTATAGAGGAATGTCCCTCCCATTCCTTCTCTTTTGCTTCACTGAGACATGGAACACTTCTTTTGGGCGCCTGAAGAACAGGGCATTAAGTTTCCTGCTAGGTTTCCAGGGGTGAAAGCAGAGCACTTGTGGGTTGGGTATTTTTAGATAGAATGCTGAACCCCATCACAGTGAAAGCATAGTCACCAAGCATAAATGCAGAAGTTTACTCTTTTGTGTCTATCCTCCTGCAGAAGTAAGATAAATGGGAATGTCTCCAGGAGAGGTCCCTCTAATAAGGAGTATGACATTTAAAATATCTGGTGCTTATGGTCCAAGTTTCTGATAAAAGGGTGAGTTCCTGCCTTAGCTGGAGATTCTTTTATAGTATATAGACATTAATTTCCCATGGAGGTTTATTAGGTCCTGTTACCCTTGAGGGCCCCAGTGGTTATCCTAAAATAGGGAAAATTGACCAGCTTAGTTCTTTGCTAGGATGACTGTTTCTTTCTAGAGTCACCATCTGAGACCACAACCTGCTCCTGTTGAACTTCTACCTCTGGGCTCCCACCCACTGCCATCCAGTTTGTTCTGACTCATTGCGACCCCATAGGATTTCCAAGGCTGTAAATCTCCACAGAAGCAGACTGCCACGTCTTTCTCCCAAAATCGCTGACCTTTTGGTTAGCGGTCAATTGCTTTAACCACTGCACCACCAGGGCTCCTTATCCCTGGGCTCAGTTCTATGAAATGTAGAGGCCTTGAAAATTTAGGTCTCCTAAGGGCGGCTGGGAGCCCTGGTGGCACAGTGGTTAAAAGCTCCTCTGCTAAACAAAATGTTGGCAGTTCAAATCCACCAGCCACTCCTTGGGAACTCTGTGGGGCAGTTCTACTTCGTTCTATAGGGTTACTGTGAGTCGGAATTGACTTGATGGCAACGGGTTTGGTTTTTTTTAAGGGTGGCTAGGAAAGTGATAGTGGAAGATTGTCTTCCTGGATGTATCTTGTATGGTTTGAATTCTGAAGGGGGAGCTCTTGAGCCACATTCTATTTATCCAGATGTTCCACAACATGCCTAATTGTCATCAGATCTAGAGAGGAAACCAGATCACTCAAAGATGACCTACTCCTGGAATTTGCCACATTCCACCAGTGATTTATTCTGCACTTCTCTACCCTGACTTCCTGACAATTTGCCATTTAAATAGGATAGGGAGTTTTTCTGAAACTTGGAGATGGTGTAACTTTCTAATAGTTGAGACCTCATTTACTTTCACCTTAATTCTGATTGATCTATCCAGGACCAACCTTCTATACTGTTGAGACTAGTTTCTCTAATACTTGGGAGGATCTTGGCTCTCTTGTTTCTGCTTCTCTGGGAGGCTGGCCTTTGCAGCTACTCCATTTGGAATGGCAGCTACATGCCATTAAGGCTTCTTTGAGTCTGTTAGGCACTGCTTTAAGACAGTTCTGTTAAGCTTTGTGGGCTGCCGCCTTTGTGTGCTTTAAATTTACTCTCCTTCAAATTACGTAGCCAGAACCTGATCCCTAAATTCTCCAACCTGAGAAATTTGCAGCCTGCAACTGACAAGTTATTTGGTGGGATTTGTTGGACTCCTGCATCCCAAATACAGCTGAGATCTCCGTGCTCCTTGAAATCTACATATTTGGCTTAAAACCGAAATTTCTCACTCTTTGAAAGTTAAGGTGGAGGGAGTATCTGAAGAGGTTGAAGGTAAAGGCCATGTTCTTTAAAACACTTAAAGGGCCTTTCATGCTCAGCCCTTATACCTTTTCAGCCTCATTTTCACCACTACCTCTTTGAATTTTACTCTAGCAGACCACTTGGAGTTCACAAATACTTATTTTTCTTTTTCCTCTCCTGGCTTTTGTATATGCTCTACCTTTGATTAGTACATTGTTCATTCACCCTCCCTTCTGTTTATTACCTTATTCAGGTATTTCTTAAGTACCTTTTACGTGTCAGGTACTCCTCTCCCTCTTTGTGTAAATAACTCCTACTTGTCTAGCTAGGATGTCACACTCTTCAGGAAGCTTTCCTGACCTAAGACCTACCCTTGATTTAGCTCCTCTCTCTGGTCTCATACCCACCCTAATTTACCCACCTTATCCTTGATGAGGGTCCAGGTGGCATCAGCTTCATCTAGTGTCAGCAGGTGGGGGGTACTAACCAACATGATGCGGTGCGGGGTATGGGAGGGGTTGGGCAGGACAATGGCTGCTGCAAGAACCCCAAGCTACCGAGGGAGACGAGGCCCCAGGCCTTGAGCTCTGACCTACTGCACCATGAGGTCATAGAGGTCTTGCTAGGTGATGAGTCCTTGGGTAGGGAGAGGACAGTCACTTCCCTAGCCTTACTGTACCTAAGCCCGAGTCCATACTTTTGAGTCACCTATCTATTCCACTCCTTTAAGGGAGGAAAATGCAGGTATCTGGTAGGGTGCATTTGTGTCTGCGTTTGTGTGTGTGTGTGTGTGTGTGTATATGTGTGTGTGTGTGTGTGTGTGTGTAATTCTAGGTTTGAGTTCTTTAAGGAAACAGGATCAGGCCTCTCCTCCACCCTGAAGAGATTTTCTATCTTGTCAGCTGCAGATGCCTTCTTAGTGAGGTTGGATTAGGGTCTTGAAGGACCATGGGAGGGGTATAGGTCAGGATTTATACAGAGAACCAAGCAGTGTTTCTCAGCCTTGGCTGTGCTTTGGAATTGATGAGATCTTTAAAAATTACTGATCCCTGGGTCCCACCCCTAAAGATTCTGATTTAATTGGTCTGGAGTATGCCTGGGCATCAGGATTTGTAAAAGCTCCCCAGGAATCTCTAATGTGCAGCCTAGGCTGAAAACCATTATTAATGGTTGGGTTATAATTACAGTGAAAGCCAGGTGGTGTGTAGGGGGTTGTCATGTAGAGCAGTGACAACGTGGAGAATAAGAATCTAATTGGGATAATGTTGCCTTAGTAACTAGAGGGAGTTTTCAGGAAGCTAGAATTACCCAGCTATATTTGAAGAAATTTTCCTTCATATTCCACTCCCTGTCCTAGGCTGATCTTTGTCTAGTAGCTGCTCTCCCAGTCCAGCCCTGATCTGTGTGATCTCTCCTTGTGTCTCTGTCCAGAGACTTCAACCTAGTGTTTTGCTGGAGAAGAACCACTATAGAGAGCCTTTCCAGTAGCTACTCTCCCAGTCCTCCCCATATCTGTCCAAGGAGTCATCTCCTTCAGTCCCTCTGGAGAATCTTCTGTGTGCTGAGGGAGACTTCTTGCATGCATTGTTCCCTAACCTAGAATATAGGGGTACCCCACAAACGTGACAATAGTCTAAGCTGGCTGATGTGGAATGAGTGTAGAGGTACAGGGAAGGGTCCTACAGTGGTGGGAAGTAGGATTTTCAAGATGTGACTGAATGGCCTCAGGGGAAGACAGGTCTCCCTAGACAGAGCCAATAGTGTGGGTGCCAGGTCTTTGAGCAAAGGTTCTACAGTGGATGTGAGTCTATAACCCAAGAGAGGAATGAATAACATCAAATATTTGTTGAGTTCTTGTGTGCTAGGGGCTTGTCAGATACTTTGAATGCATTATTTTAATTAATTCTTACAGTAACCTCGTGAAGTAGGTACTATTATTATCCCATTTTAAATGTGAAGAGACTGAGGCTCAGAGAGGTTAAATAAGTCGTCCAAGGCCATACAGCGAGTTAATGGGTGATCTGAGATTCAAATCCAAGTCTGCCTGATTTCAACTTTAACAAATAAACAGTAGTTCCTCTTGGAGATGGGAGAAAACTTGTTGCTTCTGCTCAGCCTTAGTGTGTGGTGAGAGGGATGCATACTAGATAGTGTGGAGTGGTGTAGTAAAGGAAAATGAGCAGGATGAGAGGAGTCACAATGGACCAAATCTGACCTAGAAACCCTGAGTTTCTTACTAAGACAAGCAGCACCAAGTCTTCTACTTGGTTCTACTGCCCCATTAGCACATTTATATTATGGTTGACCAGGAGAGACCACCTGGGGTAGTATAGTTGGCACCAGTATTAGTCTCCTAGGGTTGTGGTAACAAACCATAAACTCGATGGCTTATAGGAACTGAAATTTATTGTTTCACAGTTCTGGAGGCTGGGGGTCCGAGATCAGGGTGTGTTGATTCCTTCTGAGGCTTTGAGGGAGGATCTGTCCATTCCTCTCTCCCAGCTTCTGGTAGCTCCAGGCATTCCTTGACTTGCTTTTGCAGTGTCGTATGATGTCCTTCCTGTCTCTCTGTGTGTCTCATCTCTTATTTTATAAGGACACCACTATGACTGGATTAGGACCCACCCTACTATGATATGACCGCATGTTAACTGATAATAACATCTTCAAAGACCCTGTTTCCAAACAAGGTCATGTTCACAGGTACCAGCTGTTAGGACCTCCACATATCTTTTTGAGGGACACAGTTTAATCCATATTCACACTTAGTTCCCTCCAGAAAGGAATTTTGATTGAGGTAAATAGAAATAGATTGATAAATACATAAACACAATGGACACAGACCTGGGGCAAAACTGACAGTTCAGTGCAAAGAGACAGATGCAGAGGTACAGAGACAGTGAGAGTTAACTTATAAACAAGCAGGGAATGATGCACACCCAGATCCTGAGGGGGTTCCAGGATGAGAACAGGATGGGTGAGGTAGGTGCAAGATGGTGGGCTCTTGGTGAAATAGGATGAGGAAGTACTGATGAACTCCCCAGCCAGCAGTCACTCCTACCCACATTTTCTGCTTCTCTTGCTGTCTGATTACAATGATTCTCTAAAACAAAAAAAAACAAACAAACCCGTTTCTATCGAGTTGATTCTGACTCGTAGCAGCCCAACAGGACAGAGTAGAACTGCCCCATAGGGTTTCCAAGGAGTGGCTGGTGGATTTGAACTGCCGACATTTCGTTTAGCAGCAGAGCTGTTAACCACCGTGCCACCAGGGCTCCACCATGATTCTCTAGGCTCCCTAAATTCCACACTGCCCTATCCTGATGTCAAGTAAGTTTATCTTTCCTTTGCCTTATGGAATCTGAGACTGAAACAAAGTTACTAAAGGAAAACATGACAAGTGAGTCCTGGATGGAGTTGGTGAGCCCAAAGTCGAGCTGTTTGGGCCGTATCTTACTTTTGGAGTTTGCCTCTGGTGTGGCATGTCCCTGGGAAAGAGGCACAGATCATCTGCGGTTTATCTTCGGGGTGACTGGGGTGGGGAGCATGAGGGGGACAAACCAACGGGGCCTGTTTTTCCAGAGAACATGAGGCTCTCAGTAAGAACCTGTAGGGCAGTAAAGAATAGTGCTGACAGCAAAGGTTTTAGAATGATAAAGAGCCCTAACAAGTCTCTTCACTTTTCTCAGGCTACAGGGATGATCATACAAGTCCCTAATCCCTACTTGAAACCTTTGGGGACAGATGTGTTTTAGAATTCAGAATTTTTCGGATTTTAGAAGGGGGATATAATGCATATATCATATATTAAGAAATACCTCAGTGGGATTCAGGGCAGTGCCCTGTAATCAAACACATCAGTATTTTTGCAGCTAAATTATGAGTAATCACACTAAGTGAGAGAAAGACTAAATAGGATTATGATGGTTCAGGTCAGGTTTTGGGTCAAATTTACTGTTTCTTCAGAGTTTTTCTATTTTGGAATTGTAGGTAAGGGATGCGGGTTTATAATTCTTCTCAGGTATTGTGAGGAATGAGAGTGCTGGTAAAGCCTGCTGAACACATCACATGGTAGGTATGTGTGCAATCTCAATTCAGAACAAAATACACATGTCAAAGGTGGTGGATTTTTGGATTGAAGGAAGAAAGTTCTTACAATGGACAATGTCCTGCTTTGGGGGAGTTGTGAACAACCAGAAGGGTGTAAGTGCTTTAGGAGAGAGGCTTCCTGTGTTGGGAGGGTGAGAGAACTTATTGCTTATGAACATTGGCTGCATATGATTTCCCTGTTCATGTACCAGAGGGGAAAGGCAAAGAGTGGTGTGCATGAGTGTGTGGCACAGAGTTGTCACACATACATTTCTTTATAATAACATTGTAATAAACATCTTAATGCATACGTGTTTGTTCACATCTCTAATTATTTTCACAGGATAGATTTATTAAAGGGAAATCACTAGGAGAAAATTACGCACATCTTAAAGACTCCTGACACATTACGAGAAGAATTTTGTCACAATTATCCACAAACATCATTGCCTGGTGGGCTTTTTAACTCTGAACTTCATGAAAAAAATTTGTCTTGAGAATGATTGATCCCAGACTTCACTCGGGTTGGGAGAAACTAGATTTACCTCTCAGCCACTTGGCTTCAGTGTGATAACACCTCTGGAAATCTCTGAGATCTTCTGAGCTGTCTCTTCAGTTCCTTGCTAATGAGCACCTATTAGCAACTATGTATGTGATACCATCATACTTGGTCCAGCTATCTGGGCTGGGTTGCTCCTGGCTTCAGGTCTTCACAGCTAACTCCAAGCCTATGGTTATGATAGTTTTCTCAGAGAGTTTGGGTCTGCCTGTGCAGCCCACGGCTTTCTCTGCCCTTGTAACAGTGACTCCCTGCCTTCTGTCTGAGATTATACTCATTCTGAATTTCATGCTGGCGTGAAAGATCTTTTGTTGTGCAAAGTCCTTTTCACAACAAAAGATCTTAGCTGAAAATGAAGCCCCTGTTGGACAGCACCATGACACTTTCCGTTTAATATCTCTAAATAATCTCTGGCAGTGGCAGCAGTGTGAAATATCCCTATTTCATCATCTTGCACTAATATCATGTGCTTCTAGTGATGTTGACCAAGACAGATGGGGGTGTTGGTGGGGATTTTACTTGGGGATTGTACATTCTTGGCTGAGGGTACAGAAAAGAGGAGACTGGCAGAAGACCATAGTGACTTTGGACCAAGGCAGGCAGGTGACAAGGTTACAAAGATATTTTGGAATATCAGAGTTTCTTTCAGTAGGACTTATAAGCCACAGGTCCAGGGAGAAAAGTTCTAGCTGTTTATTGTTGGGGCTTTAGGGGGTAGGAGGCTAGTGATTACACATGAGACCAAGAGGATTCTCTGAGCTGGGAATGTCTTAGACTAGTGTCCTGGCCAAATTGGGACCCCAGGGCACATTACATAGATTCTCAGAAGGAAGGGAATAAGCCTGTATAGCTCCTTCCCAGGGGACAGGCTGAAAACAGAATCTGGCTCCAGGAATAGAGGGCTGTGATCCCAGACAAGTATCTAAGCACCTGCCTCCAGAAGTAGTACCACCCCTCCCAGACCCCCAAGTTCAGGATTTGTAGAGGAACATTTGTGTGGAAACATAGGTAAACTTAGATTGAAACAATGGATTGAAGTGTTCTTTAAGTTAAACCTTGGGTACTATGATCCGACACTAGTTCCCTGATTTTCTTATTTTCCCTGCATGGTAATGCATAGCCCCCTACCTTCTCCCAAGCAGGACACAGGGTTAGGCCAAGGTCTACAGTTGCCAGTGGTGCACATAGTAGGGATTTCACGGCGAATATCTGTTAATATGTGTTGAGTGATTATCATAGTCATATACAGACAGTGGGACAAAGATTGCATAATCTATACCCCCAGGCCCCAGACTCTCCTCAAAGTGACGCTCCACCGCCACTCCCAGGCTTCATTGTTTCCACTGTGTCTTAGTTGTCTAGTGTTGCTATAACAGAAATACCACAAGTGGGTGGCTTTAAGAAACATTTATTTTCTCACAGTTTAGGAGATGAGAAGTCTGACGATCTGACCCTTTGAAACCTAGGAGGTTGTGGCCCCACCATTTGAAACCCTAGAGGCCACGGCCCCACCCTTTGAGACTGAGGCAGCTCTGCTTACTGTGTTCCTTCTAATAGTTCTGCTGATCCCCAAGCTGCTTCAGGGATGATACTTTTCTTGGAGGACAACAGGTGTAGCTCCTTTGGCATGTTTCCTGCCTGTAGGATTCCAAAAGGCAGACAGCATTCTCTCCTTTTGTTCTTTCTCCATCCGCTTCAGTCTAAGCTGATGGGTTTTCTGCTGTGGTAGTTGGTTAGATCCATCAGTCATAGGCTTAATCTCTATAACAAAAGATTGCGTAGCCATGTCCTTGGTACAAATTCTAGGACACGTGTCCTTAGTTTGTACAACAGAATTTTCCAAAATTTGAGTTTTGTTTCCATTTTACATAGTTCATTTTTAAGTCCATTTCTTTCCTCTCACATTTTACTATAAGCAGCAGGGAGAAACCACATGGCCCCTTTAAGATCTTGCTTAGAAATCTCCTCAGCTAAATATCCAACTTTATCGCTTACAAATTCTACCTTCTGCCAAATATTTGAACATAATTCAGACAAGTTCTTTACCATTGCATAAAAAGCATCACCCTTCCTCCATTGTCCAATCACACATTCATCATTTTCTTTTAAAGCCTCACCAGAAGCACATTTAATGTCCACATTTCTAACAACATTCTGTTGCTGGTGCTGTATGTATTCTCTAAGATGGCAGAGACTTTCTCTATAGCTCTCCTCGCTTCTTTGGAAGCCTCACCAGAATAGCCTTTGATATCCATAATTCTACCAACAGTCTTTTCAAAGCAATCTAGGCTTTTATTATTAGGCATCTTAAAACTCTTCCAGCCTCTACCCATTATCCAATTCCAAAACTGCTTCTACATTTTAGATACCTTTTAGAGCAGCACTCTACTCTTCTGGTACCAAATTCTGTCTTAGTTAACTAGTACTGCTATGACAGAAATACCACAAGTGGATGGCTTTAACAAACAAATTTATTTTCTCACAGTTTGGGAGGCCAGAAGTCTGAATTCAGGGTGCCGGCTCTAGGGGAATGCTTTCTCTGTCGGCTCTGGAGGAAGGTCCTTGTCTCTGAGCTTCCGCTCCTGGGCAATCTTCATGTGGCTTGGTATCTTTCTTCCCCCTTCTCTTCTGTGCTTGCTTGTTTAACGTCTTTTATATCTCAAAAGAGATTAACACAAGATACACCCTAAACTAATTCTGCCTCATTAACATAACAAAGACCACCCAATCCCAAATGAGATTATAACCACAGGCATAGAGGTTAGGATTTACAACACATATTTTTGGGGGACACAATTCAACCTATAACACACTGCCCATTAGAACTGGCTTTTTCTGGATGTGAAGGTTTCTAGGAGCCGGTCCCTGATCTACGTGGTGCGGACCCCATAGATGAGGGGGTTGAGGGCTGGTGGCAGCAGCAAGTAGATGTTGGAGAGAAGGATGTGTACAGGCTTTGGAACAGTGTGTTGACCAAAGTGGTGTGTGAGGTAGGAGAAGAGACCAGGCACGTAGAAGGCCAGAATGACACAAATGTGACAACTATATGTACCAAAGGCCCTGGCACGGACCTCCTGGGTAGGCAGCTGCAGCACAGCATGGGCAATGAGCCCATAGGAGCCAGTGATACCCAGAATATCCAAACCTGACACAGCCAGCGAAAGTGTCAGCCCATACAAGTGGTTTGCCTGTGTGTTACCCACTACCAGCTCTACCACTGCCATGTGTGCACAGTGGGCATGGCCTATAGTCTTGGCTCGGAAGTGCCCAAATCGTGCCACCAGCAGAGGGAAAGGTACAATAGCCACCGCTTTCAGTGCTAGTGCCAGGGATACATAGCCCACACGGGCTTTGGTGACTAGGATAGGATAGGGCAGTGGACGTCCTCCCGCCACAGCATGATCACAGGCCATGGCCAACAGCACACCAGATTCCATGGCAGTCAGTGCATGTACAAAGAACATCTGGACCAGACAGGCAGCATATGGCACCAGCCAGGGCCCAAGCCACAGCACAGCCAGCAGCCCTGGGGCTATAGATGTGGCTAAGCCCAGGTCTGTGGCTGCCAGTGTAGCCAGGAGTAGGAACATGGGCTGGTGCAGGGTAGTGTCTATCTGCACTACTGCCAGCAATGCTCCATTGCCCAGCAGGGCCAGCAGATACATGGACCCAAAGACCAGGGTCAGCCAGGCCTGGGCACTCCCTATCCCTGGAATGCAAGTCAGTAGGAAGAAGGTTGGGCGTAGGAAGGTGGAGTTGGGCTGTGGAGCTTCTGCCATCCTGGTGGGGGTGGAGCGTGAAGTTTTAGGGCTTATGAGGGCATGACTTCTGACAGGAAGGGCAAGGGGAGAGACCTTGGGGGTGTCATGATGGCACAAACCCACCCATGGAGTGTGTGTAGGAGTAGCTCAGGGCTAGGATCACAGGCTTATGACCTTTGGTTGGAAGTTTGGGATGGATAATCAAGGTCACAAGCATGGCTAGGATGAGAGGGAATCCTTTGCACCTGAAAGCCCATGAGTGTTGTAGGGAGAGAAATGGGAGGATGGTGGTAGTGAGGAAGGGGGATGGTGGTGACTGCTGCAGTGGCTAGTACAGCTAGAGCCCTCCAATTGGAGGTCAGGTGAAGGTGGAACTGAGGTGAATGCTTCTTCTCAGGGTTCAAGTAGAGTTAGTTTCTGTAGATGGGGAGAAAGCCAGTGGTGGGTAGGGATCAGGCCTAAGCTGGTCCTGTCCCTGACTATGTATCCTTGGGCAGAGCCATTTCCTTCTCTGGGCCTCAGCTTCCTCACCTCTACCATGGTGGTGGGACACATGATCCTAAGCTTTGCCCAACTCTGACATTCTGGGCACCAACCTTCCAAGAAGGAGGGAGGACAGTAGAGAGAAAGGGAGAAACAGGAGGGGGAGGTAAATGGGGTCTGGAGTGAAGCTGGAAGCCTTGTCTGATAGGAAAAAACCTGGTGGGCTTTTTGGGGGTGCTCATGTTTTTCTGAACTTGATGATGAAGTAGTGAACTGTAACACCAGCTGGAGAGTTGCAGTTGGGACTGGGAAGCAATAGAGAAAGAGACAGATGGCAGCAAGTAAAGGAACTTCCCTTCTCTGTCTCCTTCTTCTGATCCAGAAGGGGTCCCCACTAGAGTAGTTTCATTCCTGGGGTGCCAGCAGGAACAGAGATTACAGAGGAGGAGGAAATTACACTCAACCCAGAATAGCAGCCTTATGAGGAAGAAGTATGTCTGATGTTGAAAGAGGCAGGACAAGTAGAACTGACTTCTCCCAGAATCTAGCTCATAGCAAGAACCTAATAAATGTCAAATAGATAAATGAATGAGGAAGAAAGTACCACAGAAAGCTTGACTGGGGACAGATCTGAACACTGTGTGTTGACAGCTTCTCTTCTTGACCAATGCCTGAGGGGCCTGTTTTGTGGCCATTCTACCTGCTTCCCTCAGGGCCCTTACCCCTCCTACGTATGCCACATTAACTCTTCCCTGCTCTGCCTCTTTGCTCAGTGCTAATAGGCTCAGTAACTCAGGAAAGAGAATAAGGAGGCAGAGATGGAGGCAGGCAAGGGTAGAGACTAATGGGAGTGGAAAGAACTAGGAAAAGAGGAACACATCCTCTGGAAGGTCTTTCCTGACTCCCTGAAGTCTGGGAGAGAAGACCTTGCTTTATTCTTTAATAGCATCTGTCTCACTCTACGGTAATTACTTGTCTCTCTCTCCCCTGTTACAGATTGAATTATGTCCCCCCAAAATATGGGTTGTAAATCCTAAACTCTATGCCTGTGGTTATAATCCCATTTGGGAATGTGTTGTCTTTGTTATGTTAATGAGGCAGGATTAGTGTAGGGTATATGTTGAGTCAATCTCTTTTGAGATATAAAAGAGATTAAACAAGCGAGCAGAAGAGAGATGGGGTAAGATAGATGCCAAGACACATGGAGATCTCCAAGGAACTAAGAAGCTGAAGCTGAAGAGACAAGAATCTTCTTCCAGAGCTTACAAAGAGAAAGCCTTCCTAGAGCCAGTGCTCTGAATTCGGACTTCTAGCCTCCTAGACTAGACTAGCCTTCTAGACTCCTAGACTGTGAGAAAATAAATTTCTGTTTGTTAAAGCCACCTACATGATAGATGCTACTTGTGGTATTTCTGTTATAGCAGCTCTAGATAACTAAGACACCCCCATAGACTGAATGAATTACAGGCATTGTTTCTTATTAACCACAATATTGCCACTTTTCATCACAATGCCTGGCATATTGTTGACTATGAAAAAGTATTTATTGCTTTTAATTGTTGGCCCAAACAGAGATTCTGCCGACTAACAGGGGTTCCTACAATTTCAGGAGCCTTAAGTATTCATGGAGATGAGAAAGAATTATTCGCCATCAACCAAAGTCTGAAGGTCTATAATGAAACATACCCTAAAAATCAATCCCCTACAGTATGCAAAGCCACTCAATGAAAATCACAGAGTTTATGGGAAAAATGGGGTTAGGAGCACTATACTCAAAAACTTATCTGTACATCATTAGCCATTAAGGAGATGCAAATCAAAGCCATAATGAAATACCACTTCACACCCACTAGGAGGGCTAGGACAAAAAAAGAAAAAAAAAGGAAAACAACAAAAGTTGGCAAGGATATGGAGAAATTGGAACCCTTATCCATTGCTGATGGGAATTCAAAATGGTGCAGTCACTGTAGAAAAGTTTGGTAGTTCCTCAAAAAGTTAAACTACCATGTGACCCAGCAATTCCACTCCTAGGTATACATCCAAGGGATTTGAATGCAGAGACACAAACAGACATATATACACCAAAGTTCATTGCAGAACTGTTCACAATAGCCAAAAGATGGAGACAACCTAAATGTCCATCAATGGATGAATGGATAAACAAAATGTGGTACACACATACAATGGAATACTGCACAGCCAGTAAAGGAAATTAAGTCTTGGTACCTGCTACAATATGGATGGAGCTTGAAGACATTGTGTGGAGTGAAGTAAGTCAGTTACAAGAGGACAAATATTGAAGGATACCACTTATATGAAATATCTAGAATAGGCAAATATATAGAGACCAAGGTTTATTAGTGGTTACCAGGGACAGGAGGGAGGGGGAAAAGGAAAGTTATTGTTTAGGAAGCATTAAGTTTCTGTTTATGGTGATAGAAAATTTGGCAATGGATATTGGTGATGGTTGTACAGTGTGATTAATGTCACTGGTGTCACTAAATTGTACACATGAAAAAAAATTAACAGCACTGAGAAATTGCATTAAAGGGACTGGGTGAGGCAAAACCAATACGTAGTCTGAAACAAAAAGCAAAAGTTAATATTTACACCTACCTCTTCTTAAAATACCGCTGCTTCAGTCAAGCAAAGAAGTTTTGTGATCTGTTATGGATTGAAATGTGTCCCCCAAAATGTGTATCACCTTGGCTAGGCCATAATTCCCAATATTGTGTGCTTGTCCACCATTTTGTGATCTGATGTGATTATGCTATGTGTTATAAATCCTAACCTGTATGATGTTGATGAGGCAGGATTAGAGCCAGTTATGTTAATGAAGCAGGACTCAATCTACAGAATTAGGTTGTATCTTGAGTCAATCTCTTTTGAGACATAAAAGAAAGAAGTGAGCAGTGAGGAGAGGGACCTCATATCACCAAGAAAGAAACTCCGGGAGTGGAGCGTGTCTTTTGGACCTAGTGTTCCTGAGCTGAGAAGTTCCTAGACCAGGGGAAGATTGATGACAAGGACCTTCCCCCAGAGCTGACAGAGACAGAAAGCCTTCTCCTGGAGCTGGCACCCTGAATTTAGACTTCTACCCTCCTAACTGTGAGAGAATAAATTTGTTTGTTAAAGCCATCCACTTGTGGTATTTCTGTTACAGCACACTAGATAACTAACACATGATCTAAGTGGGCTTTCCAGTTTAAAAGAAAAATGTATATTTCCAAAAAAAAAAAAATTCATCCCAGTGATACTTTGTTTTTTAAAAAAAGGAACCTAATAAAAATGGTAGCATAGTCTGACATATGCTAAATGTTTAGGAAATACATAAATACTACAATAGATATGGCACTTTACCTTGAAAAAGACCTGAAGTTTCCTTGTGGAAGTTAGTATTGGATGGCTTGCAGCTTATGAATTATTGTGGAAGGAGGCTTATCTGAAATCTGATGGAAAGTTGTAACACCCTATGTGTATGAGTGTGGCTCATAGCACATACAATGAACTGAGGTAGCTGATAGATGGTTGAGGTGTGTGCATGTGTGCAGTTTGGTTATTTTTACATGACTCAGCTTCAGTTGGGTGCAGTTTTCTGTGTTCACCTAGTCTTTCTCTGGGAGGGAGTCTTACATAAAAAAAAAAAAATGTTATGTTCAGATCCCTAATATTATCAATTGTGTTGGAGCAAATTTGCATTTCAAAACACCTGTTAAACAGAGCTGATTGAATCTCTTTTGTGCCTGGCCCTGTGCCAAGTGGTGAGGCTACAATGGCAATAACAAGACCCTGCCCTCAAGAAGCTCACAGCCTAGTGGACACAGTGATGCAAGCAGTTGTCAGAATACTCACTGAGGTAATTTCTTTAACTCTGGTCGGTACCAGATAACGGTGGTAGCAACGAGAAAAGAGCTTCCCACTCTTCTTGGCAGTGTCAGAGAAGTCTTCTCCGAATAACAGTAATAATAATTAACACTCCCATGGAGCTTCCTATGTGCAGGCACTGCTCTAAGCTCTATCCTTAGAACAGTCATCTGAGATGGGTACAATTATTTCCTTCCATTGTACAGATGAGAAAACTAAGGTACAGAGGGATTAAGTACCTTACTCAAGGTCACACAGCTGGTAAATGGCAGAGTTAGGATACTAACCTAAGCAGTATAGCTCTTAGCCATTACTTCAGACATTTCAGCTGAGATTTAACAAATGAGTAGGAGTTTTGACCTGACCCAAGACATGGTATTTTCAACTGCCTCGTATGCATGCAAAAGCTGGACAATGAATAAGGAGGACAAAAGAAGAATTGATGCCTTTGAATTATGGTGTTGGTGAAGAATATTGAATATACCATGGGCTGCCAAAAAAAACAAACAAACCTGTCTTGGAAGAAGTACAACTAGAATGCTCCTTAGAAGGGAGGATGGCGAGACTTCGTCTTACGTACTTCGGAGTTGTTATCAGAAGGGACTAGTCCCTGGAGAAGGACATCATGCTTGGTAAGGTAGAGGGTCAGCAAAAAAGAGGAAAACCCTCAACTAGATGGATTGACACAGTGGCTGCAACAATGGGCTCAAACATAGCAACAATTTTGAGGATTGCCCAGGACTGGGCAGTGTTTTGTTCTGTTATACATAGGGTCGTTATGGTCAGAAATGACTCTATGACACCTAACAACAACAGGAGTTTTCTAGGATAGTTGGTGTGGTAGGCTGAAAAATGACCTCCCGAAGATGTCAGGTCTTAGTTCCTGGAAACTGTAAATGTTACTTTATCTGGAAAGAGGGTCTTTGTGGGTGTGATTAAGTTAAGGATCTTGAGATGGGAAGATTATCCTGGATTATCAGGGTGGGTCCTAAGTGCAATCACATGTATGCTTATAAGAGGAATATCATCTCTATAAGAGGAAAAGAACATGATATGAAGATGAAGCAG